GCTGGGGATTCGAACCCGCCACCTTAGGTGTATGTGGCTGGCGCCTTAGCCACTTGAGCCACAGGCGCCGAGCCCATTTCCTTTCTAAGTTCACTTTGTTCACAAATGAAAAGATTTTAATGATTCTCCTCCAGTTCCTCCATGCTCTGTGTTCTTGTTGGATATTCCAAACATGATCAATTGTTTGCTGAAGATTTTTGACAAAAGCATGCATATTCCCTTTAAACATTTTCTCTTTGCATAAGAAACCTTTTTCACGTCCCCTTCAAATCTCTCCAACGTGTTCTGGAGCTTATTCCACACATCCTGCTCAGCTATACCTGAAAGGGGGGTGCTTTCTTCATAATCATCAATTCCTGGATTGTTTGCTTGGTGCCCCAAGTTGTAGGCTGCCAAATCTTGCTGCCACTGGGGTCCTGGTGGCCCACCCAGTGCAACTCCTCACAGGTGCCATGGCTGGCTGTCTTGGGCACTAGAGACTAACAACCCTTGTGAGCACAGTGATACTCTTACAGAAATGGGGACAGGCTGAATGAGAGCCCAAGGGTGAGGGTGAGGCTCTCCAGGTTAACAAGAGCAGGGCTGGATGCCTGGTACCTGCTATCAAAGCAGAAGGGGACCAGGAAGATGCTGCCAACACCCCACCCCATACCCATGTCCTATTTTTTTTTTTTTTTTTTTTTTTGAGACAAAGTCTCAATGTCACCCTTGGTAAAATGCCATGACATCATCATAGCTCACAGCAACCTCAAACTCTTAGGCTCAAGTGATCCTCTTGGCTCAGCCTCCTGAGTACCTAGGACTTCAGGTGCCCACCACAATGCCTAGCTAGTTTTTCTTTCTTTTCTTTTTTTTTTTTTTTTTGAGACAGAGTCTCACTATGTCGCTCTCAGTAGAGTGCTGTTATGTCATGGCTGATAGCAACCACAAACTCTTAGGCTTAAGCAATTCTCTTGCCTTACCATCCGGAGTAGCTGGGACTACAGGCACCTGCCACAACACATGGCTATTTTTTGGTTGTAATTGTCATTATTGTTTGGCATGTCTGGGCTGGGTTTGAACCCACCAGCTCTGGTGTGTAATAGCTGGTGCCCTAGCCACTGAGCTACAGGCGCTGAGCCTAGTTTTTCTATTTTTTAGTGGAGACAGGGTCTTGTTCTTGCTCAGTCCGGTGTCAAACTCCTGAGCTCAAGCAGTCCACTTGCCTCAACCTCCCAGAGTACTAGGGTTACAGGCATGATCCACTGTGCCTGGCCTCTGAGACTGCTTTAGATAGGATGATCTAGGCTGACCTGGCTGAAGAAGTAACATTTGAGAACTGAATGATGAAGAAAATATAGTCATCCAGAGATCTCATGGGAGCATATTCCAGAAAGTGGGAATGAATAGCAAAGGGGAATGTCCTGAAGTTTGGGCATCTTGAGGCCGGGGGATGGGGAGTTGGGTGGGGGGGGAGGGCAGCATGGCTACAGTGTAGCAAGTAAGGAAATTGGTAGCAGATAGGGTCAGAGAAATGGGTATGGGTCAGACTGGAGAGAGCCTGTACATGCCAGCTAAGGAGTTCAGGTTGTATTCTAAACTAGAGAGATTTTAAGGGGGATGATACATCGTAATTTGGAGTTTAAAAAGATCACTCTGGTTGCTGTATAGAGAATGATTTTAGGAAGGCAAGCTGGGAAGAGGACAGTCACTTAGGAGGCTCTTAGAGTTATTTTTAGAGGCTCGGCGCCTGTGGCTCAAGCGGCTAAGGCGCCAGCCACATACATCTAAGGTGGCGGGTTCGAATCCCCAGCCCAGGCCCGCCAAACAACAATGATGGCTGCAACCAAAAAATGGCCAGGCGTTGTGGTGGGCGCCTGTAGTCCCAGCTACTTGGGAGGCTGAGGCAGGAGACTCGCTTGAGCCCAGGAGTTGGAGGTTGCTGTGAGCCTGATGCCATGGCACTCTACCCAGGGGGATAGCTTGAGGCTCTGTCTCAAAAAAAAAAAAAAAGAGAGATATTTTTAGAGAGAAAAGAGAGAACTAAGGTAGGTTCAGTACAGAAGGAGGTAATTGGAGAGAGTCATAGTATATGTTGGAGCTGGGTGTGGCAGCATGCGCCTCTTGTAGTCTCACCCACTTTGGGGGATGAGGCAAGCAGATTGCTTGAGCCCAGAAATTTGAGACCTGCCTAGGTGACTTAATAAGACCTATCTTTAAAAACGAAACAAAACAGAGTGTATGTTAGAATCAGGCAAGTTCTCTTGTGGGTTCCTAATAAGTTACGTGGATTTATGGGAAAAGAAGAATTGAAGATGGCTTCAGTTTTGGTCTGAGTATCTGGAGAATGGTGGTGCCAGTTAACAAAATGGAAAAGAAGGGAATGGCTTTTGGTGGGGGGTGGGGATTAAGATTTCTTTAGTTTTATGCATTTAAGTTTAAGGACAAAGGTAAAGTTATAAGCTGGTTGGCATGTTATATGGCACACGATAAACAAATGAAAAGCTGCTGTGTTTTTGTTGTCTGTTTTTTTGGTTTGTTTTGAGACATTTCATTGATGCCTCTGGGAAACTATGTGCCTTTGACTTTTCCCTTTTCTTGAGTACTGTCCAGGTGCTTTGTTGGTCATTATGCTCTGAGTCCTAGTTTTTGGCCTTTAAAAGGGATATGAGGCCATGAGCATTGCCTCACAGAGTAGAGCAGTGCAATAGAGTAGAGGGGTAAACAAGTCTTTTACAAATGGATGAGGTCCTATTTTGCCTCTTTCTGGCTCTTTTCTGTAAGGACTAAGCCAGGGCAAACACCAGATCTTGGAAAATCCTAGCAGATACTTCGGGTCTGTGTGGGATACTTTCACTCATGCTAGCAACTTCCACCCACAGGGAGAGATGATGGCTGAGGACTCCTTGGTTAATATGTATTTTTTCTGTGGGCTTTTTTTTTTTTACCAGGACATCAATAGCCTCAACAAACAAATTGCTCAACTTCAGGATTTTGTGAGAGCCAAGGGCAGCCAGAGTGGCCGGCACCTGCAAACACATTCCAACACCATTGTGGTCTCTTTGCAGGTAAGACCTAGGGAAGAAGGGAGGGATGTGTAAAGGGGAGGAAGCTGTTGTCTTTGGCTGACCCACTCCTTTTCTTCTAGTCAAAACTGGCTTCCATGTCCAATGACTTCAAATCAGTTTTAGAAGTGAGGACAGAGGTGAGAAGAACCTGTGTAGGCGGGATAAGAATGCGGGGGTAAGGGTCCAAGAGGAAAATGGGAGAGAGACAAGTTCCACAGGGTTATGGGACCAACAGGAGGGATCTCTCTAATGTCCGTGCTTTCTACTGGCCTCAGGACCTTTTCATTTCTCCTCTAACCCCAGAACCTGAAGCAGCAAAGGAGTCGGAGGGAGCAGTTCTCTCGGGCACCTGTATCAGCCCTGCCCCTTGCTCCCAACCACCTGGGTAAGTCACAGGCAATATGGGAATCCTTCAGAGGTAAGACTGGTTAATTACTCTAGTTATGGTGGCATCTTCTAAATAGAGGCAGATGTTGAGTAGGAGAATGGAAGGGCAAGGAAGTTGCTAGGCTTTGTCTCTCATGCCAGAATGGATTCTTGAGATTCATGATCCACACATAGTTTCCCACATTCTCACTGTCAGGGATGAATTCAGTCTTACTTGGAAGAAAAGACAATATGTAGTATTTTTCATGTACTTCATTCATACTCCTTCATTTAATTTTTACAACCAACCTTTGAGAAGACAATTGTTATTATCCTCCACCTTACAGTTGAGGAAACTGAGGCTCAGAAAGGTTAAATGACCTGTCCAAGGTCACAGGCTAGTAAGTGCCAGAGTTGTGATTCAAATCCAGACCATATGGGCCTTAAACCTATCTTGTTAACCATTAAGATGTTCCGTGTCCTCTTTTCTCCCCTAGGGGGTGGTGCCGTGGTTTTGGGGGCAGAGTCCCGAACCTCCAGGGATGTGGCCATTGACATGATGGATTCTCGGACCAGCCAGCAGCTGCAGCTCATTGATGAACAGGTACTCAGGCTCTGAACTGGCAATGATCTCTTGTCATCTGTGGTCCGCAAGGGAGTGTTTGAAGTGTGCCATGGGCAGAATGACTGGGTCTTAAAAACTCAGGCCTCACCCTGAAGAAGCTTGTGCTATTCATGTGCTCTTTCCCTTTCCCAAAGGATTCCTACATTCAGAGTCGTGCAGACACCATGCAAAACATTGAGTCTACAATTGTTGAGCTGGGCTCCATCTTTCAACAGTTGGCACACATGGTTAAGGAACAGGAAGAAACCATTCAGAGGTGAGATGCTCTCTCTCTCACCCCAAACAGAGGAGTCTTTTCTTGATATTGGATTAGTATTTTGATGTCCCCAGGGACAGCTTGATGCCCTTTGAAAGAGTACTGTGAATCCTGCCCACCCAGTTCACCTGCTTCTCTCCAGTCAATAAGCACTTACTGAGCACCTGTTCAATGTCAGGCACAGTTCTAGGTGCTCGGGATACAGCAGAGAATAGAACAATAAAGACTACTCCATGGAGCCTACTTTGGAGCATGTAGTTGGAACTGATATGGCAGGCAGGACAGCTATTAAAAGGAGTTGACCAACAAGAAAACTTCAGGTAATAATTAGGGCTAGACACAGATTAAAGTAGGATGGTGTGGTAAGAAAGTGACTGAGTAGGAACATCAGACTGGGTGGCAAAGAAGGCTGTTCTGAAGATGTGAAGCATAGATCAGTGATGACAAAAGGAATCTAGCCATGCCAAGTAGACAGAGAGACTGTGGGGATCACTAGAGCAAAGACCCTATGATAGGACAGTTTTGCTGTACTCAATAATGAACAAGGCCATTGTGGCTAGAAAGTGATGAGAAGGGATAAAGAGGTATAGGATGATAATGGAGTTAGGTAGGTAGAGGTGCACCAGTGGACCAATTTCTTTGCTCCTGTGGTACCACCTGCTATTGCAAGAAGCATTTTATCTGCTTCTCTTCTGTGGCACTTAATGATCATTCATTCAGTTATGGGATTGCATCAGTGCATAAAAGAGACAAAGGTCAGGGTGGCACCCATAGCTCAGCAGTTAAGGCACTGGCCATATATACCAAGGCTGGCAGGTTCAAACCTGGCCTGGGCCAGCTAAAACAAGGACAACTACTACAAAAAAAATAGTTGGGCATTGTGGCGGGCACCTATAGTCCCAACTACTTGGGAGACTGAGGCAAGAGAATCACTTAAGCTTAAGAG